TCTACAGTTGATCCCTACCCTATAGTCAGTTTCTACTCTACAGTTGGTCTCTACTCTGCAGCTGGTTCCTACTCTACAGTTTGTTCCTCTTCTGTAGTCAGTCCCTAGTCTGTAGTTGATCCCTACTTTGTAGTCGGTTTCTACTATTTAAGTAATTTCTTCTCTACAACTCGGCCTTACTCTGAAGTCGATCCCTACTCCACAGTTACTCCCTTCTGCTTAATTGATCACTTCTCTAAAGTCTTCATGATGCACAAAAGTGACAGCTAAGACAACTATATCAATCATAATCTTTATAACAACCAGATTAACAGAAGCTCAAGCACAGATGCTTTAAAATGTTTATCTTAAACCTATTAATGGCTTTGTGGCTCAAAACCACAAGTGACTCATGACCTTTCCCGAGCTCGCTTTCCAAACCTGATACTTAACGGGAGTACATCGAAATAATGTCGTTTTAGGCTCCATGAACCGCCTGGGTTTGCTAGACATAGAAATTCATCCTGTGTAGGCCCAGTGTCAGCTCGTCTTTATTACACCAGAGTGTAAAACATGCTTTTGTCTTACATCCAAAAGTTCCTTCGCAGTTTTTTCTTTCATGTTTCCAACAAATTTGAGAGCTGACCCAGAAAGTGTAGTGTCCTCAAGAGCAGCTCCTGATATCAATGATGTACTATTGTTCATGCAAATCACAATAAAGCCAATAGCCGCTATATCCTCTTTCCAGTCACTTAGTGCATTTTCATGGATCATACTATCTCCGATGTTTGCTAATGATTAATTAGTTGTCTGATTTCGAGGAAGGATGAATCCTTACCTAGTTTCACCTCCCCCTTTTCATTAAGCAAGATATTGCTACAGTCAATTGAGCCATGAGATATCCTGAGCTCAGAATGAATATAGACAAGGCCATTCAGAATTTCTCTGCAGACTGTGGCAATATCTGCTTCGCTCATGTCAACAATACCTGCCAGACAGTCGAGGGAGATTGCTAAATGTATGTACTCATAGGCTAGAAAGATTGAGTTTGATTCGGTGTAGAAGTCCAGCAATGATACCAGATTGTCATGACAGGCTTTGCGAAATGTCCATGCCTCTGGTATCCGACGCTGCTTTACCAAGAATGTCGGAAATTCGCCAACATCTCTCAGTGCTATAACACCGGAACCCGCTTGGTCAACATAATATGACTTGTGGTACTTGATTTTTGTATCTGTTTCTTCTTTCACATCCGTAGAATCGCATCTCCTATGGGGGTGGATCGGGATACCAAAGCGATGAGAGCTACCAAGATGCCCTTTGAGGTATTTTGTATGCTCCCTTGTATCAAGTTTTCGACTTGTACTATGGTGGCCAGTAATATTCCTTAGATCCTCAGGTAAAACCGTTTCACGATACGACTTCTTTTTCGTTGTGGTCATCTTCAGTCGATTCGAGGTGGGAATTTCAAGATAATAGAGAAGTAAAAGATTCGAAACTCCGAGATTCTTGTTGATCTGGACATGGAATTTAACAATCTATAAGTTTTTATGATCTCATCGAGCCCAGTGTCTGGGTTATGGGCCAGAAGTCGAATTTCCTGCGTACCGTGTCTTTTTACGTTGCCACCCCGTATTTTTCGAGCCGCAACCCGTGCGCAGTACCCGTGCGATCGGATGTGTGCTGATTGCGGAAAAGTGATACGCCCCACTTGCCGCACCCTTTTCGGCTCGCAAATAACGAGAATAGCGGAAAGTTTGGGAACACGCAATAGCGATGAGTAAGTCTAATACTTGGACTTTGGAGCAAGGTGTGATACATAACGACCACGGATATTCGACTTGAGACAAGATTTTTCCAAGGAAGATTTCTTTACACAATGAATTGATATTTCAATACAGTATTCAACCCCAAAACTGGATTGATTTTACTATCCAAATGGCACCCGTTACAAACTTACAAAGCCCCATTGAATTGCCCGTCAATCGGCGTATTCCTCATCCTCATTTAGCCTTTCCATTTGTTCAGTCGCAGACAGAAAACGGATTTGTTCATTACGGCTCTCCCTATGATCAAATAAGCCGAATATTTGTCGGTTTGAACCCGTCTTGGAATGAGATTGATGCGATTGAGTTTCACGAAGGCATTCCTGTGGGGTTTGTCAGCCAGTGCAAGTTGGAAGAGAAGGAAATTCCTGTACAGCGCTTGAGGCAGTCTTCACACCCAAGCTTATTGAAAATTCGGGAGGTATTCTTTCTGAAAGGAAGTGCTTACTTCATATATGACCAGTGGGGTTTGACCTTGGCCGAGATTCTTCATCTGTCACCTGTCTTTCGTTTGAGTGAGGTAGAGGTCGCCGTGATATGCAGAGCAGTAAGTCCAGCTACCTGTTCCCTGAATGATCATCGGCCATTAACATAGTGCAGGTTCTTCTTGGACTACGCTATATACATAAAGAGTTAGACATACACTATGGTGGCTTGTCACCATCAAAAATCCTTGTCACAAATATGGGTGAAGTCAAAATCAGTAAGAATTCTTAATCCGACTCTCTCCCAACAAAGACTGAATATTGTAGCTGGGATAGGCAAACGGCTATTTCAGAAGCAGAGCTCACTGGAGAAAGCACGAGATGTTCAGGCTGTGTGTCTTTTAGCTCGATGCCTACTCGAGGATGAGGAGACCACCAGCGTCCATGGTACAATTGGTCTTCTTGCGGAAGACTTTGCTGGAGCTCCAGCCACAGTAACTGCAGATGAGCTTCTTCAGGTGAGTATTTGTTCTGATAACCCAGTTTAATTTGTCTAACCATGCAATGAAGCATCCATTTTTGCAGGTGTCAGCAGTTTCGTGGTGCCTTCGTCCTATCCATATCTTATATAAGGTTGCTTTGGAACGAAAGCAGGAGTTGGAATCTAGGTAGATCTGTTATAAGTGAATTAAATGGAGGCTGGAAAATATTGACTAAAGTAGATAGGTACAAGTTCCAGCAACCAATAACACGTAAATACCGCTATATGTACAACTGATACTGGTTTTATAGAATACGAGAAGTATGAAATCAAAAATCTACAATAAAGGAGTATTTGAATACAATGGATTACTGGAGTCATATTTGAATCAGAGCGTCCATACACTTCATGTCCTCAATTTGGTTAGTGTACTCATCTAAGAGTCTTTCCCTAATTTACCTTGTGATTAAGTGATTATTGGCAGCCTCGCATACTTTTCTCTCACAGATCACCAGGGCTGTCATATAAAAGACTCCAATGGTCCCTTCTCATTTTCGCCGTCAACAGATATTCCTCAGACAAGAATGGAACTTTCACAAACACCAACAACCTCAAGCAACAGATATTCCTTGCGACAAAATGACACTGCACATACCATCGAGACACGGTATATGGAAATGCTTCTTGAACTTGATTCTATTCCATGGTTCTATAGTATTCTTGCCGATGGTGCCAACTGGATGCTTCTAGCAGGGTACCTCGTTTTACCAGGAACTTTTACTTCTCTTCAAGACTCTCGAATCCTGGAAGATAGCTTGAAGGCAACCGCCACAGGTCAAAAAATTCTCAGTACGATCCAGAATCCCCCCTTGCTCGCTATCGCCGTATTTTTCCTTGTCTCGGGAGCTTTTGTCATGACATGGCTTGCGTGGGAGAGAAGAAACAATTATATCTGGCTTCTTAATCGACTCTTTATGTACAGTACTGTGAGATCATTCAAGCTGCGAAGCCTTGTGACTTACATCAGAACTAGACCCACTCTTTTAAATGCCGCGTCTGGTTTGATTGCGACATTAATCAATGTTTTTACGGCCCAGGGAGGTAGCTGGTCTATCATGGCTCTTATGGCAACGATAGTAACCGCCCTCACTGTTTCGGTTTCTCTGGGTTTATTCATTATTTACAGGTTTGGAAAGCTCCTTAAAGTAAAGCAGGAGCATGATCGAGAGATGATAGCAGAGTTTCACCGAGTTCATACTTGAGATAAAGCTTGTTGGTTTGGTCCTGATAAGTTACAAAACAGTCTTCGACTTTTCTTAGTCTTGGCTTTCTTGAACCCCCTTCTTGAACCCCCTATTTGAAAAGACTTCGGCGAAGATAATTTCATGTTAGCTCATATTTTTTGAAACCACTAAAAATCTTGAATTGTGTATCAAGGAAACTTTCTGTAATGATCTTTAGCTACTATGTACTGTATAAGCAATATCTAGAGCATCTATAGGTCATTTACTATGCATTCGTTTTGTTGTAATTCCATGCGGTTGATGTCTGCAAGGCAATTTCTCGGTGCTAGCAGTGATTTCCATCTTAAAGTCTATCAGGCTAGAGAATCTTCGGTGGATAGAGCCTGTCACTATGTAAACTCAGGTCGGGGTTGCCGTTCTCTTTTCGGCTCGCAGCTCATTTGGAAATTGAAGCTAGTGAACGAGATGTAATTCGTTCTTTGCTGTGCTTATAAGGAGCATTCAGGTCTGACTTTTGCGCAAAATACTCACTCGTGTATCTTTGTGGAATCCCCTACTTGTTGGATATGCAGTTTCTAACCATCGCAACCATCACTCTCAGTGCTATGGTTATGGTTAAAGCCGATGTCAGCGAAGTAAACGATTCGCTTGTGAGTGTGCTATAAATTGTTGATTATAACTGTTTTGGTATATCTCGATGCTGTTCCTATGCTTATGTTTGTTGCCATGAAGAATTATCTCTCAGGCTCCCTAGAGCTGCAGGCTTGGACTGAACCCGATTGCCAGGGTAATACAGCTTTCACAAACTTTGCCAATTCTACCTATGGACGGAATATATCGAATGCTTTTGTATCTCGCAGTTTCAGGCTCTCGCGTGTTCTTCATGAAAAAGAGCAACTCGATATCTCAATAACTCAAAACTTTGATACATGGTATGCAGATAAAGATCAACTCTCGAGGAATGATTCATCATGCCGGATCTTCGTTCAAACATATAATTCTATGAACGGAACTACGGAATGCCATAATACGCCAACGTTCACATGTCACCGACTTTGGACAAACCCTGGTCTTCCCTAGCCTTATACCGCCAAGCAGGAGGGGGTCTTGAATATCGAAACTCCATCTCAGTTACTATAATGTCGAAGGACTGAGAAAGAATGTGTCCGAAGGGTCATATAGTGATGATGATGATGATATTTCATACGCTGGCCCGTCGCTTTGGACGATATGCATGGATTCACTATCTCTTCTTTTTATATACCTATCTAACATGAACTATTACTTTCCTGACAGAGTTAGAGCCTCGTCAAGGCCTGTGTTAGTCAGTGACTGGATACTGGATTTTTACTTTGCTGCCCTCGTGGCGCGCGACTTCGAAATCCAACACCAACCCGAGGACGCTGCAGTCTGGCGGGACATCTTGTAGCCTACCTTATCTACCAAGACCTGCTGGTTTGCAGCCTCGCTCGATCTTTCGCAGATACCTCCCACTTTTGTGGTATTCCATTCTTGTTCCCACTATCGCTACAGAGATGATGATGATGATGATGTTTCATACGCTGGCCCCTCGCTTTAGGCGATATGCAGGGATCCACTATCTATACTCTCTATATACAACTTGAATGTGAACTATTACTTTCCTGACGAATTTGGAGCCTCGTCAAGGCCTGTGTGGGCCAGTGCCTGGGGTTGTGTTTTGCCGCCCTCGTGGCGCGCGACTTCGAAATCTCTGCGATGCCTCCGCGAAGTCCAGAACCGCCTCAAGGACGTTGCTGACTGGCGGGACATCTTGTAGCCTACCTTTCCTACCTTGACCTGCTCCTCCAAGCATCTCTGGTATGTTGTTGAACGCTCCTCCAATCTTCCGCCGCAGCGTTGGACGTATAGCGCTGAGCCGCGGGCAGTCAATTAGTACGTGTACCACCGTTTCCGTGGCCCCACACTCGCACCGCTCATCTTCCCGGAATCCACGTTGTTTGGCATGCGTTGCCAGCCACGAATGGCCTGTGCGAAGTTGCATAAGTAGATATGCTCGATTCCGCGGGAGCGAGCTATACAGTCGGCGAGTCCTGCTGGATGGCAGGCCTCGGTCGATACGGCGCAGGTGCCCTCCGTTTTTCGAGGTCCTCCATTCTTGTTCCCACTCTTGGTAGATCTTTCTGCGTATGTATCCTTTCTCCCGTGAGAGGAGATGTTTGAAAGGGTGCTTCTTCTCTATGCCCACTGCTTCCTTGGCCAGCCGGTCGGCCGCCTCGTTTCCAGGGTCCCCGCAGTGGCCTGGCACCCGTTGCAGTCGCAGTGGAATCCCTCTGGCTTTCATTTCACCAGCCGAGCGGTGAATAGTCTGGATAATACATTGGCCTGATTTATTCCATGAGTTGTTGATTACTTGTAGTGCGGACATACAATCGCTGAGGATTGTTGCTGGTTCCTGGTTTGTCATGGTGTCCCTTTGGTCTCTCTGTACTAGCTGGAAGACGAGTCCGATGGCATAGTAGATTGCCATGAGCTCGGCTGCGTAGACTGACCAGTGCTCCATTGACCCGATGCTGATTTGTCGCGAACCGATAACGTGTTTATTAGAGTCAAGGGCCACCGCTGCGGCGCCTAACTGATTTTCCTTTCCAGATGCATCTGAGAAGACTGTTATGTGAGGTGCTGCGGCCTGTCTTGCTACAGACTTGGCTTGTGCTTTCTCTCGGTCCGGCTCGATCTCTATCTCTGTGAAGGGCTGAGCTCGCCATGGAGCTAGGGGTCTTGGGTCGATGGTCTCTAAGCTTTGCAATCTTCTGAGGTCCATTGTCCGTAGTGTCTCTGCTAGCGGGAACCTTGTTCCGTGGCCGACATAGCCACTGCGTGTCTTTGCGCGATTTATCACTTCGTAGGCTGGGTGGTCGTTTGGTAGGGTGCTGAGGCGGGCAGCTACTATCTGTGCCCGTTGCTTGAGTCGCAAGATGGTAGGTAGGATATATGACTCCACTTCGAGTGCGGCTGTGGATACTGTCCGAAAAGCTGAAAGTACTCGGATAAGTGCTGCTCTTTGGACTGATTCCAGCAGTCTTAGGTGAATCTTATCTCGGAGCGGATTGTGCCAGACTGTAGATGCGTAGTCCACCGCCGGTGTCACGCAGGTTTGGTAAAGTTGCCGCATTTGTTCTGGTCGGAGGTGTCGTAGACCGCTTAGCGCAATGTTTACTTTAGTAGCTCGCTTAACGGCTTGTTGTACATGTTCCTTCCATCGCAGCTCTTTGTCAAAGATCACACCTAGAAGCTTCGCAGTATCCGCTGGTTTGATAACCTGGTTATGAATCGTGATCTGCCCTTTTCCATGGGCTGCTTTGCGTCGTGTTAGATGGATCAGCTTGGTTTTCTCCGCGGCAAATGTTGCACCTGTTCTCCGTGCCCACTCCTCAATTCGGGGGATGTCCTCCTCTTGGATTAACTTGATATTCTCCTCTACGGATGAGCTCGTGCGCCACCGAAAATAGTCGTCGATAAAAGCCGATGCCCCGCCGTCGCGGTCAACCGGTTGGTCTACTAAGTCAGAATTGTAGAAGCCGAATAGTATTGGCGAGAGCGGGGATCCCTGCGCTAGGCCTGCATTTTCCAGAGGCAGTCTGGCTGTCTCAAAGTCGTCAAACGTTACGCTGGCTTGGCGGTTCTTCATAAAGCTTCGGATCCACTTCCGAGCTCTAGCTGGTATACCTTTTGTCTGCAGGCGAGCATCAAGGCTGGTTGGGTGGACTCCATTGAACGCGCCTTTTAGATCGAACGCGATGAGCGTTACTACCCGGCCCTGCATCCATGCTCGATGTACTGCGTTGGCAAGTACGAGCAAGGCTTGTTCAGTATTCCGTCCTGGTCTTCCACCGAATTGGGTGTCTGGAAGTAGTTTGTATTTCTCCGCCCAATACGAGAGCCGTCGGGCTATGACAGCTTCAGGAACTTTCCCGAGGGTATTGAGTAGGGATATCGGTCGATATGCCCCGGGCGCCGAGTAATCGGATTTGCCGGGCTTCCGCAGGACTATAATCCGCGCTTGCTTCCATTCGTTCGGATAGTATCCCAAGTCCACAGATTTTGTAAAGATGGTAGTAATAATTTCTTTCAGGAATTGCCATAGATGCTTCCACACCAGTGTAGGGATTCCATCTGCGCCCGGGGCGGTGGTTCCCTTGGCAACTCGGAGCGATCGATATATCTCCTGTTCGGTGATTGGCTCCCATGGGAGTTCGTCAGCAGGACTCCGTTCCTTTATTCCAGGCTCGGCCACCTTGGGAAAGAAGGTTTTCAGGAATGTCTCTGCCTTTCCCTGGTTGTCTGTTATTTCTTCTGTGCCGATCTTGATTGCTGGAATGCTTATATATGCATCTCGGGGACGCATGTAGGTGGCTGCTCTCCATAGCTGCCCTTCACCAGCCCTGTCGAGGAACTCTTTCCAGTGGCTTGCCTTTGCTTTTTCCACTGCTCGTGTCCACTGTCTTCTTCTCTCGCGCATTGTCTTAAACATGTACTTGGTGTTTGGGTGGTTGGCTCCCAACGTGGCACATCCGACTTGCCACTTCCTTCGGGTTCGGTTGGCTTCGATTTGTTGTGTCTTAAGGTCCGCTGTGAACCAGCGCTTTGAGTATGGACACGGAGCATGCACTGGCACATGCTGGTCTAAAGCGTCAGTTGTGGCTTGGATCAGATTTTCGACTGCCCCGTCTAGATCTTTGTGTGAGTGGATCTCGGCTTGATCGATGCGCTTCAGTATCTTTCCGCCTATTTGGGCCCAGTCTGCTCGATTATAGGCTCTCTTCCGTTTGGGTTCTTTGGCCTGTTCGGGTTGGAGACTCCACTCCGAGTAGGTGCCTCGGTGGTCTGACCCGTAGTGGTCGTGGTGAAGTTGGCACCTGATTAGTCGTGTTATGTCGTCAGTAAGTGTAAGATCAAGTACCGAAGCTGTGCCTGGTTTACTGAGAGACCAGAAGGTTGCCTCGCCTGAGGCTAAACACCATTGTAGTTCATAGGTT